CCCTCTTTCCCTCAACAGGAGCATCTCAGAAAGTGCCATGAGGCAATGTAAAGATACTGGATGCAGTATTTGTCCTTGATGCCAATGGTGCAGGTTTTTAGTGACCTTGCTCTTAATCATTAGAGTTGGAAAGGCTGCTTTAACATGTACTGTTGAGGACTCTATTTGAGGTGTCTGTGTGTTAGATTACAAAATAAGGGATTTGGAATGAAGAAAGGCAGAGTAGACTTTATTCTATTAATCAAAAGTCTACACAGGAGATCTTTGCTAGCTCTGCTTGTCAGTGCTAACATAGGTCAAGGAACGTTATCCATTTCAACTTAAGTGTCATTCCAGTTCAGTTTGATCACAAAAGTTGGTTTCTGACTATAAAATAAGCTGTTTCCTTCCATATGTTAAGAGATTAAAAATTAATGCTTTTATTCTAGAACAGGGGAAAAAAAAAAGACTACCTAAAAAAAAAAATCTTACCATGAACTTTAGCGGTATTTTCATGACTAAAATAATATTTTAAATGCTTTTAAAATGATGGAAATTCAGGCTTTCAGAGGTGTGAGTCAGAAACCTTCGATGCAAAGGCAGCCCCATAAGTGACAAATGGATGACGCTGAATCAGCAGAAGGAATTGCAGGGCACTGCCTGCCAGGGCTCATTTAGAAAAGGAAAGTTACGGTGCTGTTTCCTTCTGAAGTAGGGGTAAAATGCTGCGCAGACACTGAGTGCCAGCCAGCTCCCTCTCTGCTGTCTGGATCTGCTGTGCGGGGCACAGGGAACACTGCTGCTGGAGAAACCCATCACCACCTCCAGTGTCAATGCCTTACGTTTTGCTAGGATGAGCTTTACTGGTGCTGGTCAAACTTGAAAGCTGCTTCTTTACCAAATACAGGTAAAGGCTCTGAGCCTGGGGTGGCTGAAGGGGGACTGAGAAGAAAACATACCCAGAAAGAGGCTCTCGCTGGTAGTTTGGTGGGCAAGGTGTGTCTAAGCACTCGTAGCTCCCTCTCATGTTGAAACACATCTGATTTGATCCACAATTAATGTTCTGTTCCAGGCACTCATCAATATCTGAATGTAAAAAACATGCAAATGATCAGTTGCTGGTAGAAGAATTAAAGGGTTAACAAGCAGCGGGTAGAGGCTGGGCAGACTGCAGAGCACACCTCTGCACCCAGGGACATCCTGAATTCGGCTGTGCTGTCCAAGACACCAGAGCCACAAGTTCCAGTAACATGCATTTATGATTGTTCTGTTATCACTGTGCAGGATGGTGCATCGTGCAAGAGCTGCCCTAGCAGATGTCAACAGAGCCTAATTAGGTAAGATTTGGGTTTTTGTGTGGATCAGAAAACCTGACAGTACCTCTCTTTTTGACAGAGGCAGGTTAAGGATTAGATGAGGTTTGACCCTAGAGTTGCTGTGTACTCGCCTTAGTAGAGATTGCATTTAAATGTGTAATGTAAGGTCATGTGAGGAAACTTCAGAGTAAGAAGTTGCACTTGTCTAATTTACTGTAGTGGTATGAAGCACTAACGTGAGAAACAAGAAAACTTCTGAAACTTGAAATTTTGAATGTCAAATCTCAAATTCAAACGGGGGCTCACATGTACTGAATGTGATTTGTGTCTTGCTTATTTGCAGGTGTATTTCTGAACACTCAAAGGGCTCTCGTACCTTGGCAGGTCTTGCCGTTGGGCATGAGGCGATAACCAGAGGGACAAGAACACTGGTAACTTCCCGGGGTGTTTCTGCACTCGTGCTGGCAGGTGTCTCTGGTTTCACATTCATCGATGTCTGTGGAAGGAAACAGGAACACGCACACGTCAGCATTGTTTGAACCTGGTATTGAACTCAGGGGTTTTTTTTTTCCCCTATTCATATACAAGTGTATGGACAGAGTTGGTGGAAGGTGTCTGGATGTTGTTTTCTGATGGAGTTGAATGTCTAAGGCTAGCACATCCTTTCACAGCTTCAGAACTGTTTTGTAACTAAAGTCAGCTTTAAGGGGATCCCCGTCCCCAGTTTTGGTAGCAGCCATCTATGTATTCTAGCCAGAGACCAGTCTCGAGCTCTGGGAAGAAAGGGGGATGTGCAGTCTGTGTACATGGACAAGGTTATACACACACAGTCTTGCCCCAGAAGCGAGCTGAGCTGCCTGATAAGAAAGTTTTAAGCAATATACTCAGGGAATGCCCAGATCAGTCACCTCACCAGAGGAAGCCTTGACAGTGGGGGAGTTGTTCTCATAGTTAATACCTCCTCAGGCAAAGCTGTTTTGCTTTCAAAGTGATTTTCCCCGTGCCATGGGGATGAATTAAGCTCAGTATCTGGGAAGACTATCAAAAAATGCTCTTAATTTATTTTTTTAGAATCTCCATTGCTTTGAAGCACCAGACCACTTTATGTAAATTTTGCAAAGCAGAAGAGTGGGATTTAGACACAGATCATATGTAATTATAATTTCTTAAAAACATAATTTAAGACAAGACAGCAATAAAGACCTCACTGAAAAGCCTCAGAGAAGCTCACAGAGTGAGGAGGAAGTGAGTGAAGTGCTTGACTGTCAGAGGAGCCAGATATCTTTGTTTCCTGTCTGCACTTCTTAAAAAACTTGGGGCAGAACTTGCCATTCACCCTGACTACCCCACTCTCCTCACTGCTGAAAGGGAAACAGCAGTGCTCTGTCACTGTCGCTACTTATGACAAAGCCCCGTTTGTTTACTTAAAATGAGTGAAGTACACCGCAACCCGCTCTCTGTTGTAACTACAGAGAATGTAAAAGCGTCTGCTTATATTGCCTGTCCTGTAGCAGAGCTGGCATTAGCCCTAGTGTGCTTAATTCTGAAACCTTTCTTCAAAACCTTTTTGAAGGTTATTCCCACTACTGCATCAGTGGGTCTACTGGTGTTTCTTGAAGTGTGAGGAAATGCCCAAAGGTGAGCTACTGTAATCAGAAGAAAGAGAATAACAGAGGGAAATAATTTTCAAAAACACAACAAAATAAGCAGCACAATTAAAACAAGAGGTTATAAGGAGGAGGTTTGTAAACATTTTTGCTATACCGTGCTCAGGAGACAAGAACATGAAGAACTCTATTTATCAGGGCAACATGAAAACCAGCACCGCAAACCATCAGCCCCTGGTGTATATGAAACAGTAACCTAAAAATAAGGACCAGAACAAAAGAATTGCATAGATATGACTGACATTTACCTACACATCTGCCATTTCTTGCCTCATAGCCTTCAGGACAAGTTTCTCTAACGTTCCTTCTAGTCCTGGAGAAAGGTATTCTGCTGTTCCTATACTCTGAGAAGGAGCTGTAGAGATTTGAGGAGTGCCTGTAATACTGTTGCGGTTGATAGTTGTCTCTCACAGGGGAGAATTGAGCATAGCTATAGCTATTGTAATAGGCACCGTAATTTGGCAATCTCTCCAGTCCAGCGCAAGATTTCCCATCACCTAATAAATGTTGCCCGGGCGGACAGATACACGTGAAGCTGCCGGGGGCGTTGGTGCATTGAAATGCACAGGGCTTAGGCACTTGGTCACATTCATTAATGTCTGCTCATGTGACATGATCCAGAGCAACAAACCATGTGGAGAGGAGAAAAAACAAACAAACAACAACACGTAACTATACGTATATGTGTACATATATACTTATTTCAGTCTGCAGAACAAACTGAAGACATAAAAGTGAGATCTTGGAGGCAGTAAAGTACGGACAAACCAATGCCAGGTAGGCAGGTTACGCTATCCTGTACAGTAATAAACCTGTATTCTTCCTGTGAGGCTGCTTGCAGGACGTCAACTCTGCTGCAAGTCTTGCCTCGAGTGTTCCTGCAGGTAAGGTGTGGCTGTACAACAGGGATCCAAGTCTGTCCCCTGCTTTCCAAAAGCAGAGCTGCGTGACAGCCTGAGAGCTGCAGTTCCTGCTCCTTACCAGAACAGACGTGGCCCCTTTTCGCTCTTCCTCCTTTCAGCCTGAGCTGCTCACTGCTACTGCAGGAATTATTTTCTCAAGTGCTCCACAGACGGGTGGGAGAAGCTATCGGGCCCCTCTTTAAAGGAGGGAACTTAACAGTGAGCATTCTTGAGCCGCACAGAGTTAGAAATTCATTCACACTCAAGAACTCGGGTACCGACACTGCACTCTGCGGCAGGGGAAAATCAGGGCTGGAGGACAGGGCTGCAGGGGAAGGGGTCGGCTGTGTTCTGACCTTTCCTGTTGTTACTGGTCATTCCAGCTGGGGAAGCTGGAGACTGAACAGTAAATATTAATTCATTTTTGTATAATTAAAAAGGTATAAATCTTCTTTTTTTTTCCCCTTGAGGAACGTTGGGGTGTTTTGAAGTTGTATCCCTTTAAATTGCACCCTAAAGTAATTTGACCACCCTAGCAGTAAATGTCCATCCTTAAATGAAAACAGAGTGGTGAGCATTCAAAATGTAGTAAAAGGTTTCAGGGTCACACGATGAGTGTCCTTCATGCAAAATCAAGTAAGTTTGAGTGCTCCTGTGTACGGCAGGACCAGGCCCTCTCCCACCATCTCTCTGGCACTGCCACAAAGAAATTTGCTAAAATTTTCATCAAGTTGTGTCAGGCCCAGCTGAAAATTTGACATCCACAGTATTCCTAAAAATCTACTGATTCCAAACAGGGACGGGCAACTCCACAATGACCAGAACTAAATAACCTAATATATATCAATTATAGCTATGTACGGTCACATTATAAACCTTTTTTTAACTAGAATTTAAAGATTATCTTCATGGTGACTCAATAAGGGTTTAATTCTTTCATATTAGTGGAAAGTGTGCACTCTTTAAATTGCTGTGTCATTAAGCCAGCTTTGTTACAGTTTCATGTTGGTTCCCTCTGAATGCAGCATTTTGAGCATAGTTTGCAATCCTCCAAGCCACAAATGCATGAAAATGGCATTTAAAAAGTAGTACTGGTCAGACACATACAGAATGGTAGACCGCATTTTTGTCAAGTGTTTAATCCTTTGTATGTTTTGAAGCTTTAAAGAATTCTTTTGGCTTTTAATAATTAAATGCTTTGAGGGTTGGAAATGATAATTACTGCAGAGCATTGCAGTGTTTTCCAATTTTGATTTAACAGACATAACTGAAACTTCATACGTCAGCTGAAATATCATTAGGGTGGTGTTGTCAGGTGTTACAGACAAGAGAACTTAACAGGGCAACAACTAATATGAATTCTAGGTTCATAGCCCTTCATTGTGAGCTTAAGATGAACAACATATTACTCAAATACATGTTAAAGAATACCCAAACTCGTTATTTCCGTGTATTGAACACCTAGTTGAACATCTTTTGCCTGCATGACACAGACAATGGGTATGTGCACACCTCCACCACAACCAATGGCCTTGGAACAAGGTGTGGATAAGCACGATCAGACTGTTGTAGAAATAAGGAAAGGAATCAGGTGGAAATTTAAGGAGTTTTTTTGCAGGATCGTCCTGTGCAGTACGGGCAAAACTGAGGGCAGCCAGTCCCCCGTGTTCCTACCACAGCCGTCCCAGCGAGAAGTGATCGCTGACTGACTGCTAAGCCTGTCTCCCCTGGACAGTTTCACTTTGAGTGTGCACTATGATATTAAATAGGTACAAGAACAAGGTGAAATGACTTCTACACTAAAACAGAAAACATTTTCACATGTTCTTTAACTTGAAGAATATTTGATTTTGAATTCCAGCTGGCCTTCCACCTGTGATTCGCATGTTGAGATTACCACAGTTTACAGAAATAGTATAGTTTAAGTGGGCAGGCATATATCTATAGGTGCTGTGATGACAAACGAGCATCTGGCCCCACACAAAGGACAGGGAATTATGGCACGAGCAAAGTTCAATTCTTCTGTTTCTGTCTAGGGCCCTACTTTTCAGATTTTCCCTGTGCTCACTGGAAACATTAGCAATAAAAACTGTAATTTATTAACACATGTGAACTAATACCTTTGATTCACCTGTATTTTAAATGTATTTTTAAGCGAATAAAAATTCAAAGGTGTGTGAAGGTCACAGTTTAATTGAAGAGTGGTCCTTGATCAGACAAGAGCTTTAGGGCAGCTGCGAGTGCTCTGTGAAAGTCTGTAGTCCTAGGCTTTATCTGGCTTATTACTGTCAGAAACTTAAATGGTTTTAATGGTTTTTAAGGAGCCTGGGATTGACTTTATTTCAGCAGAGGTGCACCTGGTGGAAGTAATGTCTTACTGCAATTTAATATCTTTTAAAAAAAAAAGAGAAAAAAAGAAAAATCCTAGTGTTTGGTAGGCCAAAACTTGAGGTTCTTTAAAAAGGAAAAAACCAGTCCTGTTCTCCAGAGCAGCCATTGATCACTTCTGAAAACGGATCTTGAGGAAGGCATCATGGAGGAACGTTTCTCCTATACGATACATGAGAGCAACTGAAACAAACTTCACTCAGTGTCATACACCAACATCCATAACTCATTGTTTTCAGGGTGCCTCAGCTATTATGTTTTCAATATTTTGCATAAATACAGGAAGGGTAACTCTAAATGACCCTAGTCCAATCCTGAGGTCTGTTAAGTGCCAGAGGAAGTGCTTTATGCACTTGCACTGACACCATACGTTAAATCCTCTTGCCATCCACATTAGAGCCACAAGAGCATCCTCTGCAAGCTGCACATGTGTGTGGGAGAAACCTTTTATGCCAAAAGGTTCTCCTTAGATAGCATGGGGGGTAACCACATGGTCACCATTCCTGCCACTGACAGGAGTCCCTCCCTGCCACGAGCCACCAAACCAGAAAGGGGAGCTCTGTGACTCGTGTGTATTGGCTTCCTCCACTGCCCGTTGGGAACAGCCGCCCGGTTGTGGCAGGTGTGTGCGTTTGTGCAGTCACTTGCAGAGGTGAGGTCTGGGTGTGTGGTGCCTCTGGCGAAACACTTCCCTTGGTGTTCTCCTGTACGGGGATCCACTCCCTGCTCGGCTGCCTTCAGGTGTGCATCAGTGCAGTCCAGGTTACAGCCAGGCACATTCCACTGTCCACTCAACTAACAAATCTGACCTGGTTTTTATAAATGAAGCCTCCTGTGGAGTGGTAGCTTGCTCATCCATTTGCCAGTGCTCTGCGACCCTTTTAGGCTTTGTTTTCAAAGTACGGATCTATAACGATCTGTTTAGAACATTTGGTTTTGACCATTGATTTTGAATGGGACGCTTTGTTTTAGATGGGTAGTTTTGACCTCTCTTGTCCATACAGCATAATCTGCAACTGGGACAGCACTGTCGGATACGTTACAGCAGAACATACGTGACAGCAGAGTGAGTGGCCAGCTTACCCACACAAGGTCTCCCAACTCCCTGGGACCGATAGCCCCGCGGACACACACAGCGGTAACTTCCTCGAGTGTTCTCACAGATCTGGTTATAGCGGCACTGGTGGGTCCCATCCCGGCATTCGTCGATGTCTGCAAGCAACAAGGCAAGGGGAAGCAGGCAGATTTTTCTTGAAACTTCTTACAGTTACTTGAACTTCTTGATGCGAAGAAATGCAGTTTAGCCACAAGTGAATTTGGCCTCTATGTAGATTTGGCCTCTGAATGTACACTTATCTTACCTGGTGCTACGATTAGGCATTGCTCTGTAACAGTTTGTGTTAAGAATCACATTCTGTGTTTCACAATCTGAAAGCAGGTTTTGAACAGACAGATAAATTTTTTCAACCATATTGCATTTACACACACTTCTTCCATTAATTTTCAAAACTTTTCATTGAAGTTTCCCCAAGAGACACAACCCATCTTCTTGTCATATCCCACTAGAAAAAAAGATCTGGTAGTATGTATCACATCAGTTATGATTGAAAACATCCCTGGTAAGCAGCAAGGACCATTCCTCTCGATTCAGAGTTCCCGAGACAAACTCTTAAAGCATTCGCGCATGGGGCAAAACATTTCCGTCAGTGAGCAATTTCTAGGATTCAAGATGCTGAGGAAAACCTTACTGTTCTTAAGAGAATGGAAAGCTATAGGTGGCAAGGATAAATCTAATCTTTTAAAACAATTACAAAGAAGTTAAATACACACGCTCCTATAAACAAAGAAAAACTGGTGCCTTAATATGTGCAAGTCTTAGTCCATCTGCAGTTATTATCTCAAAGACCATTATTGTTTTAAACTCATGATTGTTCCTGTGCTTACCACCATTGTGCAGTCCACAAACACTTCCACTCACCAAAGCAAGTGCCATTTTCTGCTTTGCTCATTCCACTGGGACACAGATCAATGCACTTATAGCCACCACGGGTGTTTTTGCAGAGCTGATCAGGCCTGCATACATTCTGCCTGCACTCGTTTATATCTGATTTAAAAAAGAAAAAAAGATAAAAAAAGGAAATTACTGCTCCCTTACGCTCCATTCCTAAGAGCAGACTATCCCACTATAATTACACTGTCCACGTGCATTTTACTGCATTTCACGCACAGAAATCAGGCTGCCCAGTTCCCCCTTCCTCTGGCTTTTAGCCATGCTTTACCAACAAATCCAGCAATACACACAGAAGTACATAATCCATAGCAGGGTTTCCATTCAAGAAGGTTTCTTATAATAAATGTAGGAATAAATACACGTTGAACTATGACCACTGGGAAGAGGGAGCGAACATGCCATAATTCATGCGTACCCATGCATTTTCTGCCCTTCAGCTGGTATCCTGGGTCACAACCACAGTGGAAGCTTCCTATAGTATTGAAGCAGCGCTGGTGACAGGAGTTGGACTCTTGGCACTCATTGACATCTGTTGAACAACACAAGTCTTTGATAGCACAGCAGCGAATCGCCTGGGCGTCATTTACCCGAGCAGTGTTTTGGCTGAGCTCTCGGCTCTAGTTGCTGCACTACTGAGGTGAGCTGAGAAGCCTTTACTTTTCTCATTTCTTTGTAAAAGAAAATGCACGTGGGACACAAAACCAGGAACGTTAGCTTATTCCCTGATAGGATTTTAAATTTATTTCTAAAGGTGGAAAAAAGCAAAAGGTTTAAAAAAAAACAACCAACAAACAAACACAAAAAGAAAACAAAGCCTCCAAAAGCACAACCTTAATAATGAAAACTTATAACCACCTTAGTTGGAGACACATCTTTTAAAAAGTTACTCTCAATTGTCTGAAAGACGGCGTTTTCAGTTTACGAAAGCTAGCACCAAAGCCCTCTCCATACCTTGGCAGCTAAGTCCATCAGCTGTCCTCCTGAACCCGCTCCCACACCTGACCACGCAGCGGTACGAGCCAATGGTGTTTTCACAGTCCTGGCCAGCGTGGCAGGCATGGCCACCTAATGCACACTCATCAATATCTGGAATCAAAAACAAGCTGTAAACCTCACTATGTCAAAATGAAACACAGCTTAAGTAGTGGCTTGAGCATGATCAGCTATGAAAGTTGATTGCAAATACATTCAGATAGGAAATAATTGTAATACCACCAATACATCATATTCTTATACTGAGAAAATGGCCCAGCCTGAAGAGAACATTTCCCTAGTGATCAAGGTGCCGTGGGGCTTTTTGTACCCACCCTGTACAGCAACACCTCTTACCCTGACACGTTCTGCCATCCGCAGAGATGGAGAGGCCTTTCGGACAGGAGCAGTAGTAAGACCCTACGGCGTTATGGCAGGTGTGGGAACAAGGATTTCGCACAGCACATTCATCCTCATCTGGAACAAGGGAAAGTTTGAGAAACCAGTGAGACTTCACAAGAAAGTACACCGAACAAACCCTTCATCAGAGGGGTACACCTGGTAGAGCCCACAGGGCTACACCGAGCAGTGGAGCGGCTTCCCAGAAGCAGTTCAGCAGCGCACGCTCCTCTCCTGCTGTTACGGGTACCAAACCCACACTAACGCACCCTGCTGGACTCTCACGTTAGCAGTGATGAAAATTTGATACAGTCTTTTCCAGAGAACCACTTTATGCGAGAACAGAGGGGTTTCAGCGTTAGTGACTTGAGACTTCCTAGATCCACGGGCACAGATTATTACATTTTCCATATTAAAGCTTCAGAACTCGTACTGTTTCACAGACAGTGCTGCACATGGAAAGTTATTTAACAACTTTATTTTCAGCTTTCCTGGTTTTAATTTTTTTTATGGTGTAATGTATCTTCTTTGATTTCCTTAATTTATAAGCCTTTAAGAGGCAATGAAATAAATCCACAAAAGTATTGTTCCCTAAAACAAGACGTGACTGGGTCATCTAAAGGAGACAGCTCAAACGCTCGTGACCTCCTTCACTTCCAGCCCTCAAGCAGGAGCAGTCTGGTTTTCAGTGGGCTGTTGGCCAGGCTGCCAACGCTCGTCCTTCCCTCCACAGATCACGGAGGTGCTTCATCACTTTGCAGGCTCAGAGATACTGTGGCTTCACGTCCCCTGGTGGCAGCTGAGGTGGTGATGAAGAGCTGTCCATTATACTCTAGGGGAGTGCAGAGGTGAAGCTCCATCGGCCTTTAGATCGACATCCTTTCATCAGTGGTAACTTACACTTTTTGAAGTACGTACTGCACGCTTTGAAACTCTGGAGAAAAGTGACAGAGATTCTGGTGGCTGAATAGTACACCCAGCTCTGGGGCTGCCAGCACAGGACAGACATGGACCTCTTAGAGCAAGTCCAGAGGAGGCCACGGAAATGGTCAGAGGGCTGGGACACCTCTGCTAGAGAGAAAGGCTGAGAGAGTTGGGGTGGTTCAGCCTAGGGAATAGAAGGCTCTAAGGAGACCTTATAGTGGCTTTCCAGTATATAATGGGAAGAAAGATGGAGTGCGACTTTATACCAAGGCCTGTACGGGCCCTGCTAAAGGGACAGGACAAGGGGCAACGGTTTTAAACTAAAAGAGGGTAGATTTAGATTGGAAATAAAGAATAAAATTTTTACTGTGAGGGTGGTGAGGCACTGGCACAGGTTGCCCAGGGAAGCTGTGGATGCCCCCTCCCTGGCAGTGTTCAAGGCCAGGTTGGATGGGGCTCTGAGCAGCCTGGGCTGGTGGAGGTGTCCCTGCCCATGGCAGGGGTTGGACTGGAGGAGCTTTAAGGACCCTCCCAACCCAAACCATGCTCCGAGACTGTGATTACAGACTGCCCTTGCCACATCATTACCTGAACAGTACGGCCCAGTTGAGTCCAAGCCAAACCCGGCAGGGCACTGATTGCTGCGATCTCCTGTACGGGAAAGGAAGCACATGTTATTTGTGGATAAAAATACAGCTGTTTCATTGCTTTTTAAAATCCCTTTAAGAATTGCAGCCCAGCTATTTATAAACGATTTATTATACTTGGACACTAAAATAGAAACTTTCAAAATCCAGACTTCAGTGGTTTTTCCGCTTTGGCACTAGAAGTCAGCAGTACATGGCTTTTGCTGTTGTGAAGAATTTTAATCAGGTGGAGGGTTTCCCTCAGAGTGACTGCAAGTGGCATCCCAGCGTAACACATCCTGCAAGGTTTCTGCAAATTGTCGTTATTAAAAGAATAAAGACCATTCGGTTTCCCTTCACCTAAAAGGAGGGCAATGAACCCAAACCAAACCAATGACCGCGTCACTGCAGTCACTGCAGAAGAACACGAGTGCGTATTACGTACTGCAATGGAGAACTCCAGGAGAGACTGCTCAAAGGCCATGTGTATTGTGCTGCTTGAAAATTGATTCAATAAATATGAATTTATGTTTTTTTAAAGCAGCATATTAATTGCTGGAAGAAATAAATGCCAGTTCAGAAGAGGTGCAGCCAGATTTACGTATAGGCATAACCTGGTCTGGAGACTCCTTTTCTCAGACCTCTCTCTTTTTAAAATGGAAAAAAAAAAAAAACCTAAACTGATTTGGATTTCAGATTGCACAGTGAGTTCATTCTGGCAAATGGGAAAATCACTATTTCCCTTCATTTAGAATGTCATGATTGAAAGGAAAGACTGAGGTAGGCAATCCCCACTGTTTCATTTACTTTCAAACCTGAGTTATTTAATTTGAAAGATGATGTTAAGCTTTACTGTGTAAAGAAAGCCCAAATAGCACATAAAAAAATAACAGGACATTCTGCTGATCGATTATGGCTTCTCAACGGAAAACCCGCTTCCACAAACCCATGCCCTGTTCCCGAGGATCACGCAGGTCACAGCTCAGTCAAGCCAGCAGTCAGTGCTGCCAGGGCACAGTACGGGTGGATGGAGCTGCTGCCTTGCTGCCACCGGCTCAGGACTCACCAGGTTTACACACCACACGTGAGCACGTGTCTGCACCGCACACCCGTGCACTGCTCGTGTCTGGCCTTAAAAATACAGCCACAAACTACCAGCAAAGTTTTCAAGCTGCAGCTCAGCATCTTGTTTTCTGTATATGCCAAGTAATTCCCAGAGAAGTTCAACCTGAGCTATGGCTTAGGACATTTTATCCATTTTAGTGCTGCATGTTGCATGTTCTTCCCCCTCATTACTACCCTACTTACATTTATGTGGGTCTTGCTGTGAGAAGGAAATACACAGCTATATAAAACTAAATCCAAACATAAAAACTCACCACCATTTGACCCCCCTCAAAAGTGACAGTAATTTAATTTTATAGAACACAAGGAAATGGAGAAATATTTTAGGTTGACTGTCTGAAGGTACTGGTCATGCTAGCAGCAGTGCCAGCAAACGCAGACGTACATCACCGATGAGAACTACAGGGGAAGAGCAAGTGCACCCCGCAGCAGATTTTAGAGACTATGGGTGTGCTGACTAGACACGTAGGTCCCAGGATCTACAACAAAGTTACCCAAGTTTCACAGCATTTCTTCTTTCAGGGCCATAACCAGCTTTTAAGAACACAGGTAATGAATTCTAGGAAGACAGGATATTACTTATCAATTGTTTCATTTCTGTAAAATATTAAAACAGTACCTTTTGCAATGGAAGCGTGGATTTTAAAAGCCACCGCTTCTTCCAGTGGGTCGTACTCTGCTGCAATAGAGGAAGCGTGGAGTGTTTGCACCAAGAACGGCATCTTCCCTTTACTGTGGTCATAGGTGATCGTGTGGTTCCACATGTAGGGAACACTAACTCCATCAACGGTGAAGAGACGAGTGGAGTGGGCATAGAGCTGCCCAGGGCCAGTCTGAATGTAGTCTTCTGTGTAATCCTGAAACAGCAAGATCCAGGCATCAGCCAGAGGACAGACACCACCACTGTGGGCTTCGTAGGTAGCAGAACGAGATGTATCCTGAGAACAAGCTGCATTTCACACAACACGCAGCCTCTTGACTCCTATTTTAACCGCTGAAGCTTAACAGCACCTGGTGTACTCAGGCTGTGGTACTGAGGATCCTGGAGATGGAGGCTACAGCAAAATATTCCCTAAAAACCTGAAAAGTATCATATTGCTCAATAATAATCTTTTGAGGTCTTAATTAACTTTTTTTGCACTGTAAGTCAGATGCTGACAATGTGTGAAATAATCAGTAAACTTCTACCGCTGCATAAAGTTATAAATATTGGACACACTACACACTGCAGTGTATCAAAACATCAACTCATGTATATTTTCTAGATTGTGGGATTAATATATTAAAACATTTTTGCTGGTTACCTACCACTAGCTAATTACCACCTTTATAGAAGCAACTTTTAAATTTTACAGTAAAACCAATTATCAAGCACCTGGTTTCACACCAGAATTCCAATGCAATGCATTACATTAAGCAGAATGTTTTTCATGTCTTCCACTAAACCAAAACCAGTTCCTTTGAACGGCATCTTTCTACCAGGAGTACAAGGTCGGTGACAGAAGCTGTGTTACTAGGAGTAGTAGAGAATACCTCCTAGAAACAACAGGCAGAGCAGTCCCGCAGCGAGGTGATAACCGTCTGCCATTCGATCACACAAACTGCCCCCCAATCATTTTGAAAAGGTTCACAGAGAAGTGCTGTTCTTTGAAAAAGCAAATCCTGTAAATATTCCAGCTGAATTGCGTGACAGGACTGTTTGCCGTAAGAGATACCTCCACTAGACAAAGTTTTGATGCTAGAGCAGAGAAAGGAGCCTGTCGTTAACAGCACCATGACAGCAGGCATGGTAAGAGCACGTAAAATAATACCCTGTGATGTAATCTGATTCAGAATATGTTAACCCCCTGTATTTGCAACTTTATCAGTCACAGGAATGTTTCTCTGCCAGGCTACATATAATTGCAGCTGCACACAAATTCTCAGTAATATTCAGAAAGTGCTGCAAGGTGCCGTGGCACAAAAGAGCTGGTGCCACCCTCAGGGAAGCCAAGGAGTCAGAGAGGTTGCAGGTGTACCTGTACAGCTTCTAACACCTAACATCTCGAGGGACCAATACTCCCTTCCTGACGGCCATGGTTTGCAAAGCCAATGTTAACTAACATCTGTCGATGAAACCAGGCACAAAGCAAGTTACAAACAGTAACACAGGCTTCAGGACTTAGCGTGACTGCTTTAAGGCAGTCTGGACACAGAGAGAAGCGGGGGATGTCTCGAGCAGCTTTACCTTCACGTTGACATCAGCTGCTGACTGGAGCTGCAGCACATGGCCGCTCACAACGACATCCAGCAGCAAGGCTCCCTCCGAGTCCACACCCCGGGCGATGTGGGTCATCCGCAGAATCTCACCTATGGATGGATTTATACCACTGATTTATAAAACATCCGAACCAGAGCCTCATGGCAGCCACACAGTACCTGAACTGGGGCCCCCTGACCAGCTGTACTACACTATTGCCTATATACACCATGCCTACAATAAAAACATTACATGTTTCAAATTACAGCTCTGAAAGCTGTATTTCAGCCTCAGAGGGCCATAAGCATCCAGGAAATACTGGCGTAAGCACAAGTCTCAGGATTCAGCCGCAATGACGTGGTACTTTGTAAGCAATGCAGCATCTACCAAGCTTATTGGGAACAGAAAGAGGTGGTAGAGCACCAGTTGCAAACTCCACTTGAGTTTCTCTCTTGAAGATGGCATCAGTAAGCGTAAACCCATTCATTGCCTCTCCGATTTCTTTTGCAGTTGTCCAATAAATGGGGCTGAGCACAGAAACAAGCTTTCTCATCGCAGGACCTGAAAGAAATGGGACGTAACAGTTGAGAGCTTTGTTCCTAACATCACACGACCCACATCCGCAGGAGTTAAATATGAAGGCCTAAAACTAGTGCAACCCTTAAGATTTAAACCAGAATAAAATGTGTATTGGCATATTGAGAGGAATAATTTTACAAATATCAATGCACTAGAAATAAATACTGAAGATTCCTGTTTCCCTCCCCCGTCTATGAAAAGTTTAGATCAGTTTCCTCAGTAACACTTAATGAAATGAAGTGGTGAAAACCAACGTTGCACAGAATTCAGCCCGGCTTGAGGGAAAAGTGGTAAAAAGTTTAAAAAAAGCCTACCAATGCTCCGAGGGACGTTTGTGATCTTTGCTTGTATCACTTGAGTTTCAGAGTCAGGGCTGTTTGTTACTGTGGCGTTCAGAAAAGCAACTCCAAATTCGATATCGTTGATATTTCCGATGATGCTGCCCTTGGCACGTGAAGGGCCACCTGTGCAGGGAGAGGAGAGTGCAAGAGGGGAAGAAGAAGCCTCACGTGAACACTCTGCTGTCTGACACACTGGGGGAGAGAAAATTCAGAAATATTGTCCAACATTTTAAGGATATTTCTGCATATATTACTGTATTATTTGCAAGAGTGAAGCTCACAACCTGCAAATAACAGGATGTTCTGTATATGCGGTCTGAGATAAATTCATAGGAACGGGGGAATCACCCCACACACTCCCCTTGCCTGAAAAACAATTGCTTAACAGCATCCTCTGGTGCTGCTCACAAAACATTTATCCAGCTGAAGTTGCAGGGGAGATTTAGGCCAAAAAAATTAAATTCCTTGGTCAACTGGCCAAGACTCGGGAGAGCACCAGTCGGATTAGGAGTGCCAGGGGCTTTTACCACAGCCACTGCACACGGGCTGTGAATGAACTCACCAGGACAGGCTCGGGTGTTGCACCTGGATATCTGGGAGGAGTCTCCAGGACAAGGACGGCCATGATTTAACGGGGCTGGATTGCTGCACAGGCGGATTCGGGTCTGCTCTCCTCCTCCACAAGAAGTGGAGCACTGGCTCCATGTCTGCCACTGCCCCCAGTTTCCATCCACTGAAGAAATAAAGGATGAAGAAAGCAACTTTTCATTACAAATGTTTCAGGCTGTATCAGTGGTGCTTTAGTGTCTCTCTGTTCTGATGGCACCAACTGAAGAAAGCAACTTTTCATTACAAATGTTTCGGGCTGCATCAGTGGTGCTTTAGTGTCATTCTGTCCTGATGGCACCAATGTGAGGGAGAAAAGAAACAGCTAAAAGGATGACAAAAACACCTTAAAGGGCAGGCATGAACACCTCTCGCCTCAGAACCACACCGCCTGTGCTGGAGACGACGAGTCTTCTCCAGGGGCTGTTTCCAGGATAAAGGGTGGAGATTTAGCAAGAGCTGGGTCAAATTCTTCCCTGTGTCATGTTGGAGAGGTGCCAACCATTTCATGGCTGACCAATGACACCAACACGAATTTGTGGGTGTTTAGTAAGTCTCTGACAGTGTGGTTTATCTGCTGTATTGCTGATACTGGTCCTGAATATGTAAGTTCTGATTGCCCCATAGTTATGTATTGTCAATAAATCTACTGTCTGCTCTGATCATTGCTGGATTTAAACCACGTGAGCTGAGCGTGAACCACTTCCTCTCTCCTGGATTACGTCACAATACTTCACTGGGAGCCTTGTAAACTGTATGTACTGTAAAAACTAAATAGAATTGCTAGGCTTAGGAGAGATTTTTCATACAGTGTTTTGAATTATTCCACCTCGTTTTCGGAAAATCTAACATGTGAAGCAGGAAAATCATCACAAGGGGACAGCCACTTAACAAACATGACGTGTACCCTGAAGTCTTGCACAGAAAGCTGCACTGACTTTCTCTGTGAGGCTGTGCACTTACCAGGGCACAGCTCAGCGCTGCATCTCTGGACCTGCATGTCCGCCCCTGCACAGGCCCTTCCACCGCTGGCGGGGCGAGGATTGTCACAGGTCCGGTACCGCCTCATCTGGCCTCCGTTGCACGTTCGACTGCAAGTTCCCCAACTACTCCATGGGCCCCAGTTGCCATGAACTGTAAAGTAAGTCAGATTTTATCTGTCTTCCTCTGAATAACAGATACTTAAAAAACCAGACAGTCAAGCTAGGAGAATACTTGTATTGGAGAGTAACTTTTTAAATTCTTTTCCCAAAATAAAAGACCAGACTATTAAAGATCTAAGAAAGTTATCTTGTCCAGCATTCAGCGATTTCTCAGAGTACATTAACCAACTCCAGAACATCACTGTTCATAGTAAGTGTGCAGCACATATGATTAACCGAGTGAGTAGCTGCACGCTTCCAGATGGAGCGAGCTGCACTGTGCAGTGCTGCCTGAGAGGGCGGTGGTAACTTTAGAGAGGTGCACGGCCTCTGCCAGCCCGGCAAGACCTTACACACCAGCTGCTCCTGGCTTGTCCTCCTGAGAGTTAATGTTCAAAACGTCCCAGTCGTGCTTTCAGTCTTGCCAGGCAGCTAATACCACTTGCCTGTATTCAGACTCCCTAATTTTTGTGGGAGCATGGGATTTGGGCAGGGCTCCCTTCATCTCGTGCATCCATACAAAGCCAGTAAGTGGAGAAGCAGCCCAACACAAAGCACTTACTTGGACAAGGATCGCTGTTGCAAAAATCAATGTGGATGTCGTTTCCTTCACATCTGTGACCCCCAAATTGCGGGGCTGGGTCTGAGCAGTGGCGCGTTCTCTGCCTGCTGCCTCCTCCGCAGGACACGGTGCAGGCACTCCAGCTGCTCCACGTGGCCCACTTCCCGTCCACTAGTGAGAAAGGCATAGCATGGTACAGTTACAGTCTCTGACACGAGAAATAACCAAGTGAATCAGTGCTACTTCAGGGTAAAACTGACTGCAGGATATTACTGACTCTCTCTGTAGAACATCTAAGCTACACAGGGATTTCTGCACAGGTATTTTCAGGGGTGAAACTGGAGAAAAGCATGAACTGTCTTTTAAATAATGTGTAAGCCTGACCAGAATCATAGTAAGGGATTACTCAGTCCTCAAGCTCAGTCACTCTCACGTTTTTAGGTCTCTGTGAGCAAGCTGAACCATATACAAAGCAGTCCCTGAAGTTACCACAGTGGACAGACAGCCAGTATGAGTGCCATCCCAAAAACCTGGTCTTCACTCATGCGTCCTCCTCTGGTTGCAGCTGCACTGTCTGAAGACTTAACCACAACCACCTTCTCACCACTCCTTCCTCACCAATCTTTGCTTTACTGGCTCAGATGTTTATAGGAGTTATTACCACATTAACTCACAGGAGACAGGTTTAAGCTGTTGGAGAGCAGGGTCTTTGATCTCCCAAGACACGGTGACACAAAGTGCTACAGCTGTGCCTGTGTGAGCACTTAAGTTGGGGGTCAAGAAGAGGCCGGTCAGTCTCAAACCAGCTGTGAGCAACAGCACCCTCAGCAGCAGCACATCAAGCCAAATGAACACACCACATCGAGCCCCCAGTTGCTTCAGCACCACAAGGTCAGGTCTCTCTTCTACCAGTTGACAGTCACAGTGGGGACCCAGCTCAGGGTCTGGCATGTGCAAAACGGAGCGTGAAGCCAGGATTTATTCTGAATAGCTCCACATTCCGCTTCGTGAAATTTTCCTTCATCACCCCTGCACTCGGTCAAATACAGAGGTCGTATTTCAAAAATGCGAATTTTCCTATCCAGTCATGAAGGACTCATTGACATGTGCATGAAAAGGATAAATGAACAGCAGAGCCTAGGAAAGTTTAAAAGAGAAATGCTTAGGAAACCTGTAATGTAACTGCCAAGGATTTAAAATGCTGCTTTTGCACAGTGGCAGGGTAAGGAAGAGATATAAGGACAGGAGGAGACATCCCATGTTAGGTCTATAGAGGGATGATAAAGACAGTGACAAGGGCCAGTCAAAATAAAAGGCTTGAATGGGATTGTTTCCAGGGCCTACACCTTCAGAACTGGAAAGCTTTTGATATACACAAAGTAGAATTTGGAGAGGAAACGAGTCTGCCACTGTTGTGTGTCCAACACATCCTACCTGGGCAGCGCCTCTTGTTGCAAACCTGCATCTGCACGTCAGCCCCCTGGCAGGGCGAGCCAGGGCCAGTCAAAATAAAAGGCTTGAATGGGATTGTTTCCAGGGCCTACACCTTCAGAACTGGAAAGCTTTTGATATACACAAAGTAGAATTTGGAGAGGAAACGAGTCTGCCACTGTTGTGTGTCCAACACATCCTACCTGGGCAGCGCCTCTTGTTGCAAACCTGCATCTGCACGTCAGCCCCCTGGCAGGGCGAGCCGGCGTGGGACGGCGGGGGGTTATTGCAGAGCCTCAGCCGCGTCTGAGTCCCCTTCCCGCAGGTCTCGCTGCACGGACCCCACGGCTGCCAGGAGCTCCACTCGCCATCAACTGCAAAGGCAGCATAGCTGTAAAACTGCTCAAACTACACAGCTGCTTTAACTTCAAATTACAGCTGTGTTGTTTAATATCAATAAATGAAATATCCTAAATAAGCCCTTGAAAAAAATCTTTGCCTTAAGCAACAGTTGAAACAGATTAATACTTCTCAAAAGAGAGGTAATTTTTGTTTTAAATACATAACTTCACCCAACTACAACCTGGGAATACCAGAACTGAACACCTGATTAAATCTGGTGCTGTCATGAGTCTCCTGGCTCTGACTGCCCTGTGCCAGGCTGAAGGGCTTGGCAGGGAAAGGGCTGTGCTAGCCAAGAGCTGGCACACCATGGTGGTGGTAGGACTGATTTTGTTGCCAAGATCTAGAGAAAGTAATCTCTTAGACGGTGGATGAACATTTAGCATTGTGGTGGTAGCAAAACCAGTGGAAAAGGGAAGAATCAATATAATAGAATTTGTATAGAAGGAAACACACGGATGGTGAATAAATGCGGGTTATGAATAAACTACAACCTGTCAAATGCAGGAGGTTCCACCAAGACAGGAGGGAAACCTGAACATTCAGCTAGTTAGGAGATAGAGATGGCTGAAAATTACAAATATAGAGGAAAACATACTGACGTCTTAAATTATTAACCATTATATTTTATATGGCTTTTAACAGTTGGTTTTCTTTTCATTTTAATTGGCTTTGCACAGTAGATTTAGAGCAGTGAGTTTTACTCTGTGAGCACATTGGTAACTAACACTGAAAAACAGAAATACAAACCTAACATTTTTATTGGAGGAGAGAAATTGCTGAAAATTTTCCTTGCACTCACTTTTGTGACTCATGTTCCCAAGAACTACTCCCATTCAATACATTACAAGCGAGATTAAAATTTGAAAAATCAGAGTTCAATTCTTTTATAATTTAATAATCTGAAACAAGGTGAGAGAATTCAGGTCTTTAAAAAAAGCCTATACAGAAAGCCTCTGATACAACTAATTCTAAACCGACCTCCTCTTACCTGGGCAAGGCCTAACATTACACATGACCAAATCCACAGCACTGCCACCACAGGGCTTCCCACCGTGCTGAGCTGCTGGGTCACTGCAGGTTCTGGTTCTGGTCCTGTTACCTTGTCCACAGCTCTTGGAACACTCCTCCCATAGCCCCCACTCTGACCAGTTGCCATCCACTAAAAAACCAGAAAACCACACAGTTTTAATTAAAAAATGTTTACTGACATTTCCTCTTCCTTTCCACAAAAGTAAAAACGGATTCCAACTTCCTAGGAAAATCACTCGGTCACAGAGATCCGTGGTGGTAACGGCTCGCTCTTAGGGCAATTAACATTAGGCACATGCAAAGTCTCAGTTCACTGGTAACACACCTGGGCACGGTTTGTTGTGGCAGCTGCGTACGTCTGTACTGGGCCCCTCACACCACCGCCCGCCGTTTGCCGGGAGAGGGCTGTTGCACTGACGGACTCGCTCCTGAACGCCTTGCCCACAGGTCACACTGCAAGCTCGCCATTCAAGCCACTCCGAAAATCCACCATGCACTGCAAGGGGGAAAATGATGCTGTTTGTAACATGCTTGTGCCCGTAACTCTCAGACTGATACAGCAAAGTGATAAATGCACTTCATGAGCCACACTTGGAAATTCAACTCACTCCACATCTTCATTACTGCAGAAATATCTTACTACAGTTCCAAGGACACTTCAGCTGCTCTGCAACACTTACTGCTTATGCTCCTAAATGCTTCTCTTTAGGGGCACATTTAAGTTATTTCTTCTGAGGATGTGATCTAGTTCAAGACCTTGTCATTACCATTTCTGTCTCTCATTGGTCTCACGCAGCTGGATGAGTATAATGAACAGAACGTCACGAAACATAAACCCACTGACATCTCAGACTACGCTTATCATGTTCCCAGTGCGCGTATGGAAGATAAGATAAAACATCTTATCTGTGTTATACGGGTAAGATAAAATCTTGATATATTCTCTACCAGTTTGATAGCTGCTATCCCATATTTTGAGCACCTACCCTGGACAGTCAGCGGTACTCTAAGAAGAACAGATCCCATGAGATTCCTCGCTACACACTCATATTCAGACGTGTCTTCCTTCTGTGCGGCCACAATACGCAAGGAGCCGTTAGACAGGACGGTCACCCTCTCGTCGCCCACAACCGGACGACCCTGGCGGGACCATCCGATGGCTGGAGGAGGCTCTCCGCTCGCCTGGCAGTTCAGCATGGCCGTGGCACCAGCTTCAACAACTGTCTCGACTGGTTCAACACTAATGACTGGAGGACCTGAAAGAGAAAGGTTTCTTTAGGCAACAGCACATTTTTTGTGTATATTTTGGGTATATTTTTTTCATTACATTAAATATTAAATGTCTGGTCAGAACGAGGGCAAAAGAAATCTGGAGTCAGTTAACTTTGACTGACATTATTGTTGATCTTCCACTGCCAAAATACGTGCAAATGAAAACGACAGTGATAAGCTCTTTTCAACATGCAGCAACCTGAGGACCAAAACTGGGATCAAGGCCTGACTACATGAGCACACAGAGTGACCTTTTTTGCTAAAATGTGTTGCTTTTCCTTAAACCTGCAGGAAGATGCTGTTAATCATGTCCAGATGCAACTGAGACACCCATAACAGATCCATACTGCTTGAGGCTGTAATAGAAAAGAGATGTTCAGAAATTCTACCACTAGTGAAAAAATAATTCTGAAATATTATTCCTGCCAAAAATAAAATATTGTCAGTGAAAGCTGGGATTCACGTCACATAACTCTCTTAATTTAAAATTTAAAGAGTGCAACGCAGTTTTACAGCCATCCTCTCGAGCCATTTAAGAGAAAAAAGCCCTTTCAGAAGGCTGAGATCCACCCCACTCTACGGTGGTTTCTAAGATGAGGCTGAATCATCCTTCACATCCTTCTCTGCTTTGACCTCAGGCACAAGCTTAGATTAGACTCTTCAACACTAGTGATGAAAGAGGAGATTAATCTTAACCTACAGCACAGTGCCCAACCTCCAAAACTCCATCAGAGGCTGCATACACCTATTCAAACAGAGGTCATCGCTCCAACTGAGCGCACTGCACTCATCCCTTGGAGTCTTACTCTGCAGCGTCAGTGTCAGCCTGCGTTCCACCACACCAGCGTCATTGGTAGCCACGCACTTGTAGTCACCAGCATCTTCATTCTAGAGAACAAAAAGCAAACAGCCAACACGTGAGCAACGAGGGCTTCCCTTTAACAGCGCACCTCCTGCAAGGGAATTTCTGCAACAAAACATGGCATGCCCTGGATATTAAAGGGCATGCCATTAGGTTCTAGATGAGCTCAACATTTTGCCTTTATCAACATTAAGCTGATATTATGAATTAGTTTTATTATTCCATTTTTATTTCCTTCAACTCCTTAACGCTGAGGATAAGTTGTTTTTAAACTTAACTGAACTCAAGGGAGCTATTATTTTTAAACCAATTTCAAAATGCAGACATGAGTTTACAGGGGGGGAAAAAAGGGGTCTTCCATTCATATTAGGCATTTCCATACTAAGACCTTGGCACGTGGAGAATGCAGTTGCTTTTCAGCTGCCCTGACTTTGTAGAACCCTGGCTCTTAAGGTCAAAAGCAAAAGTCCCATTTAATTGGGCAGGAGCAAGATTTCACACACCAACAATTAGTACATATTTTCAGTCCTTCTGACAATTAGAGAGAACAACAGCCCCCTGGGGGGTTTGTCACAGTAATCTGAGTCTAACTCTAGTCTGAATTAAAACATTTGTTTAAGGGAAAAGCAGCAGTGGACTAAATGTCTGGCCTCACTCAGAACAGTACGATCTGGAACACCTTTACTACCCAAGTACAACGGAGAAACACATGGTCACAGAGCAGCGCCTCACCACAGTGCCGTAGATAGCGAGAGAACCATTGTTGAGCTGTCGGATCCTGTTGCTAATCTGAACACCGACTCCTTTCTTGCTCCACTGGATGGTTGGAGGCGGATCTCCTCGGACTTCACAATTCAACACGGCATTGCCACCCAAGGGCTCAATTCGGCTAGAGTGGTAATCCCCTTTGAAGACTGGAGGCTCTGAAAAAACAAGTGATGGCAGAGAAACAGCAGAGTCAAAATAAAAGGCAATTGCTGGTAAGGACCGTTCACCCCTGACTTTAAGACTTTCTGAAGTATGAATTTCAACCGGTTTCTTTTTTTTCCATTTAGCCATAGACAAGGTACCAAATACTAGGGGTAATGGCTTTAAACTGAAAGAGAGTAAGCTTAGATTAGATATTAAAAAGAAATTCTTTACTGTGAGGGTGGTGAGGCCCTGGCACAGGTTGCCCAGGGAAGCTGTGGATGCCCCCTCCCTGGCAGTGTCCAAGGCCAGGTTGGATGGGGCTTTGAGCAGCCTGGGCTGGTGGAGGTGTCCCTGCCCATGGCAGGGGTTGGACTGGAGGAGCTTTAAGGACCCTTCCAACCCAAACCATGCTGCGATCCTCCTATCAAAGCAGACAGCTGTATGAAACCATCCAACAGCGACCACAACAGCTGTTACCTTACATACCTTTGACATACACAAACCCGATAGCTTTGATCGAGCCGACCGTGTTTTCTGCTGTGCACACGTAGGTACCAGAATCATCTTTGGACACCTTTTCAATGACAAGTTCGCTGTGTCCGTTTACATCATCGTACTGTGCTGAAGGCAGAACACACAGTAAAGGCTTACTTCAGTGGTTTTAAATGTATACATGTCAGTGACTGCTGTGCCATTAGACTGCTTGTATTACAGCATGATTCAGCAACACAGCTCAACGGCACTTGCTGTTTCATTTCTGAGACACCTCAGAAATGCACAGCAAAGCCCCTGCAGTGACGTTTGCTCACACGTGTGTATTCACTTAAGCTGTCTCTTAATTTGGAGCTTTGTGCATCTGCATTCTAAGAACTGCTGAGGTTGTCTTCATATTTAAAAGAAATAGCATTATCTGTTGGATGTTGAGTAAATATAACCTGATACTGAATGTTTTTAATGTGTTATATTATTGGCTACAGAAGAGGAAGAATTTCTTAATTTATCTTCCTCACAGCTTTGTTTCAGAGGCAATTTAACGACATGACCGAGTAATACTGAAGATATTCCTTACACAATCACTGCCTAACAAGTTTGTTCTCTCTTCCTTATCCTAAACTAACTGCAATGCTGTGCAGGGGAAAACAGCTCTAGACCAGTAAGGCCCAGTGTTACCCACCTGGAATGATGTTATTGTTAAAGGTCCATGTTATTTTTGGTACTGGTATCCCAGTTGCTTTGCAAGTTAATCTGAGCTGTTCTCCTTTGGTCAGAGCTACATCTCCAGGAAGTTCAGTAAAAGCTGGAAGCACATGAACTATCAGGGTGACAGTGTGTGTGTCTTCTCCTGCAGCGTTGTTGGCAATACAGGTGTAACTGCCAGAATCTTCAGGCTGAAAGCAAGCACGTTGAGGAAATGTCAACTGTGATATATCCCACACAGCACCACTGCTCGTAACAATACAAGAATCTCAAAAGATGTGGAACAAGCAGTCAGTGGAAATGCTCATCTGAACTCTTTTACTTCCCCTGAATTTGAAAGATGACCTACACTTTTTGACTTTCCCGAGAAAGTATCACTACAAATTTTTCACAGATATTTCACTCCTCAGTGGAAAAAGAAACATTTTAAAGACTTTGGAACATTAAGAACAAGAAAACAAAATAAAACAAAGGCTAATCCAGAAGTGGGTGAAAATGAAGAGAAGCAGGGCGTTATTACTGCCAAACCTGTCAGGCTGTAGCTTAGATTTAGGGAACTTACAACAACATTGTCCACAATGAGGTCTCCATCTGGTGCAGCCTGGTATTTTCCTACTATCTCTGTTAACAGCGTATTGTCCTTCTTCCAGATTATTGTTGGTGTTGGAATCCCATCAGCCACACAGGGTAGAACAGCCTGGGAATCCTCTGTGACCGTGTACTGTGCCTCTGTGTTGTGGATCTTGGGGGGAACTGTGAGGAGGTTCATTGAAAAGTTTTACCTCTATGCATTATCCAAGCACCGTTGTCACAGCCTACTGTACTGGACTGAGCCACCGTCTGGCTCTATGGCATAATTTCTTGTCTCCATTAACAACCACCATTAAACATGCCAAAAAAATGTGTGAAATACTTAACAAAGTATAAACTGAGTTAAGGAAATGTAATGTTCTTCCTAAATTCAAGCAACTGGCTGATGCTGCAACCCACTAAAGCTCATCCATGAAAAGCAGCACAGTTTTCCTGAACTTCCCCTTCCATCCAAGCTCCTTACACTCCGTAGGTTCATGCTGTAACGCACATGGTTTCTGTGCAGTCCCACTTACTGTGCACGGTGAGCTCCGTGCTGGAGCTGCTGGACCCCGCCGGGTTTGCTGCTATGCAGGTGTAACGGCCGGTGTCGCTGGGCTGCACAAACACGATCTGCAGCGCACCGCTGCTAAGAATTCTTCTTCGAATGGACTCCGATATTTGCTGTCCATCTTTATGCCAGCTGATCTCCGGCCCAGGGTAGCCTTCAGCCTCGCATTGCAGAGTGACAGGTTGATCAACAGGGACAACGTATTCCTTGTTGTAGGACTTGATAATAGGAGGAACTAAAAAGAATTAAGAAAATTCTGGAAATAATTATATGTTTCAAGAAGCATGGAATGCTTCATCTGTTAGTGAAAATAATCTTAAAAGCCTATTTTGATCCTAAAGCAGACAGACAGCTGGAGGGAATAAACCTCCTGGGCTCTGTTCAGCATCGCATCAAACAAGAAAGCATTAGGTCCATTACTATTGCCCAGAATTGTTTTGACTAACAGAAAGCATGCACAAATTTCTTGTCTGTAAATCACTACAAGAGTTTAAAAGATGATTTACCTTGAACTTTCAGTTTGATTTTCCCCAGTGCGGTGCCAGCTGGATTTTGAGCAACACACATGTAAGTGCCAGCATCTTCAACAGTTGATTTTGCAATCTGTAAACTGCCACTGGGAAGAACCATGTAACTGTTACCTAAAAATAAAATAAAATAAAGCACGACACATTTTTGTATTGTTTTGTGTTCCTTATATAGGTTCCTTATATCTAACTTTGAATAGTCAGAACAGAGAGAATAGGTTTCTGAGCTACAGCTTTAAGAGGATACCTGTTGTGATTACATTGATGCCCTCCTTTTGCCATGTTATTATGGGTCGAGGTGTACCCGTCGCTTCACATGGTAGCAGAATGGGATTGTTCACAATGACATCAAGTGCCCCTGGCTGCGGGTGGATAACTGGTGGTTCTGTGGAATGAAATAAAGAGGATGTTTAACAGTATGTTTAACCTTCAAAGCTACAAAGTACAGAACATGCTAAACACTGCATAACCTGAGAGCCTGAGGAGGCTGAGTTAGCGATGGCTGTATTCTGCCATCCTTAAGAAGAGCTCAGTGGAAGTGCTTCTAAATATAACAAACATGCTCAGCACGAGTGTGAGTACAGAGTGTGGCCTTCGTGCAATCTGCCATCACAGATACATTTTGACTTACCAAAAAGCAAAGAAACAAAAACCGTACAAAAATAAAAGAGAGCAGCCTGGATTGGGGGTGTCTACCCAAGGTACCCGAGTTGTAACACACAGAGCAGTGACTTTGTGAATAATGAGAACATCCCCAAGACAGTTCAGCTGAGCAAGACGCTGCCTGTGATGGTCCGCTCTGGCCTCACCATTACCCTGCAGCCCAGGGATGTATTAAATGGACAACGTTTGCTGACAGGATGCACGTGCTCTTCAGCTCCCACCTTACCCTGAATGCGAAGCGTGGCATGCCTATGAGCCGAGCCGGCTGCATTCCGGGCCACGCAGGTGTAGCGGCCTGCGTGCGCCAGCTGAGCAGCAGGGATTTCAACAGCACCTGCAGCAGAGAGAGGGTGCGTTACAACACACACCGGAGTCCTGGATTCACAGTCCAATTCTCTCACAGCACCCATCTTCAGAGGTCTGTATTTTCATTCTAAGAAGATGGGGGGGTTGTTTGGAGGATTGTTCGCATGTATATATTTATTTATTCCAGATGTGCACAGATGCACCCTTTCACTGATTTTTTGCAGCTGAGCTCCAGTCGCACACGGTACCTGAAGAGAGAATCCGGTAGCCATCTCCTCTGGGAAGCAACTTCATGCCATTTTTGGTCCAATGAACTGAGGGGACAGGAACCCCTGATGCGGTGCAGGAAATTACTACTGGAGACAGCTTTGTTACCAAAAGGTCTGTGGCTTCATCTGCTATGGATGGGGGCACTAAAAACGAAGATCAGCGTAAAGGTTACTTGCCCATTTTCATTTTTATGAATTCTCAAAAATAACTTATCTTTCTTGGGAATACCAGAGACTTATGGATATCAGTATCATAAAAGAATGATATATAAATCTCATCTCAACATTGGAAAGCCCTGAAGAAATTCTAGGTGCTGTACACATGTAATAGCAATGTCCCCTCTACCTTGGACTGTGAGCTCAACTGCTCTTTGATCTTCTCCTGCTTCATTTGATGCAGAGCACTCATAGACAGCAGTGTCATCCACAGTGGGAGAAATGATTACTAAGGAACCTGAAGACAGAAGTCTGAACAAAGAAAAGAGAAGAAAGGAAAAGCCACTGAGATACTTCTTTTCTTCTCAGGTAATCAGACCACTGAATTTGCTGGCTATACAAGATGACATTTAAGCATGGCCAGATTTTTAAACTACCAAAATCATCCCTGAAAACTTTAAACCCATGGTGAAAAGAAAACATTTCTCACCTGTACGTATTCTGGTTCTGGTCAACATTAAGCAGGTGCTCATTCTTTTTCCAGCTAATTGCTGGTCTGGGAATTCCAGTGGTTTCACAAGGCAAAGTGGTCTGCACATTCACAATAACTGTAATATTCGTATGTCCAGGAGCAATAGTTGGAGGAACTATGGACAAACAAAGCCTAATTATTCAGAATAATTATAACATGCACAACATACATACATACATATATATTTTTATATAGAGAGAGAGAGAGAGCTGAACTGCCTGAACACATTTAATTGTGTTTTTTAAAAGAGAACTTGACAGTAGTAAACTTACTAAACAACTAGCATGGGATATGTGAAGTCTTTCTACCTTCAGTGTACAAGGAGCAAGTATTGTCTTTTCATGAACATGCTGTAAATGCCTTTTTTTTTTAAGAGCACAACTAAAAAGGGGCTAAACTTCAAATTAGATTTGGCAAAACAAGAAAAATCATGTAACTGGACTTCCGACTTGTAAAAACACACACTTATCTAAACCCAAAGCTTTTACCAAGAACCTGCAGATCAATTCGTTTGCGCTCAGTGCCAGCTGCATTGGTTGCCATACACACATATCTTCCTGTGTCAGTAACGTGCGCTGAGTGGATGTGGAGAGATCCATTCTCTAACATGGAATATCTGAAACAAAGCCAGGCATTATCCTTACTATCTGATCAACAGAACCATCCTGGTGCTACCACCCTGGTAGCATAGAAGGAAAAGACCACTCAGGGTATGCAACAAATAGCCTGAACATGTGGTGTGTTCAACTGGACACAGTTTTGTCATTGACTGCACTTATTCTGACTTCACCCTTTCACCGTTTTCCAGAGGAATGACGAAATCTAGCTGACATAGCAATTCCACATAAATGGTGACAGACCTGCAGAAAATATCCAAAAAGCCCTCTTTTATGGTTTCTCATTTGTCCTTAAAAAATTTAATTAATGCTTTTAGACTTTTTTTCCTTTGAAATGTAACTAAATTCTTTAGCATTTGCTCAGTTCTAGAAAATGCCAAACTATTTCCCCTTAAAACGACATTACAGTGAATGGTTTGAAAAAAAGACAAAAGTTGATAGCAGAACATGCATAGGAAGTTTTATATATTAGAAATTCCAGAGTACACTCAAGTAGCTTCTGGTCTGCATGAAATTGCTTGGCTTCATCCCAAAACTTCATATATAT